GCTAACAACAAACATCTTAATACCAACCATCTCATTGACAACCACATCAACAATTTCATCAACCTTCTCAAAAACACTCACCTTCTTGTTCTTGTTGTTCATCATCAAATAATGATTTAAATTATTTTTTATCACAGCAGCCTTTACCTAATCATGAGCATAGAGAAAGATCATATAATAGAAGATTATCTAACCAAAATATACTACATTAGTAATTTTTTTAATATATAAGCCTTTTTTTTTTTGAATGCTTGAGTTTTATTTTATTTTTTTTTATTATTGAGAATTTTTTTTGCTTTTCAATAAAAACAAAAAAAAGACTATTAATACTATTGTTAAGAATTTATATACAGAATCACCAATTGTACTTATTATTAAAGCAGATCAATGAGAATATTTAAAGAATAGCTGCCAAACTAAAAAGCAAGCAAGAAGAGCACAACAATAAGCTCTCTCTTCAAGTAATAGATGTAAGTAGTTTTGCCTCTTAATATATTTTTCTATATTTAGTCTGTTTATTGTAACTGTTTTTATTTTAATAAGAATATATAATTGTATTATAAAATGTTCATTTATATTTTATGTTTATCTAAACCAAAATATCTTGAAAGAAGCTATGAAAAGCTATCTTGAAAATCAATTCTCTAAGTTCTTGCATAATATTACTTCTAACTAATTTACAAATCATTTTTATAGTAAATAGTATAGTGCAGTATATTATTAATCAATAATAATTTTTTTTAATTTTTTATTATTATTAATTGCTTATATTATCATTCTAATATTCATGATCTTTGCATTATAGTATTACTGTTTTAAATATTTTAACTATATAAATTTGTTATTTTAATAGCTTCTTCAAAAAATGAAGAATTATAGAAGTTTTGCAATGCAAAGTGTTAAGTTAATAATGTGAAAAGTTTTTGAATTAGAATGGTTACCTCCTTTAAAAAGTAATGCCAAGGTTCTTGCAATTATAAAGTAGAAGAAAAACCAAAAATAAGTGAGTGTCATTGTTTATTATTTGAACAAAATGATAATGGTGTGTGTTTTTGAGAAGGTTGATGAAATTGTTGATGTGGTTGTCAATGAGATGGTTGGTATTAAGATGTTTGTTGTTAGC